AACCAACCAACCAAATCACCAACCATCCAACCAACCAACCAATCAAATCACCCACCAACCAACCAAATAACCAACCAACCAAATAACCAACAAACCAATCAACCAACCAAATAACCAACCAACCAACCAAATAACCAAATAACCAACCAATCAAATCACCCACCAACCAACCAAATAACCAACAAACCAACCAAAAAAAAACAACCAACCAACCAACCAAATAACCAACAAACCATGCAAATAACCAACCAACCATCCAAATAACCAACCAACAAACCAACCAAATAACCAACCAACCAACCAACAAACCAACCAACAACCTACCAAATAACCAACCAAACAATGAACCAAATAACCAACAAACCTACCAAATAACCAACCAAACAATTAACCAAATAACCAACCAACAAACCAATCAACCAACCAACCAAATAACCAACAAACCAACCAACCAACCAAATAACCAACAACCAACCAAATAACCAACCAAACCAACCAACAAACCAACCAAATAACCAAACAAACAACCAACCAAATAACCAACCAACCAACCAAATAACCAACCAAACAACCAACCAACCAATCAACCAAATAACCAACCAACCAACCAACCAAAGAACCAACCAATCAACCAACAAACCACCTACCTATCTACGTATCTAACGAACCAACTATAGAGCTCTTAGTTATTGAAATAGCGTCTCTGGATTGTGAAGTCCACCTGTGTACATTCCTGATCTCACACTGCACTCTAATAAGGGTTCACAGGTGTTTAAAAGCAATGTGCCTTGCTGACTATATACACTCTGTTCCTGTTGACATCCTCAGTAAAGGACGCCGAGGTGAAGACTCAGGGGATACATTGTTCTTTTTCTCACAGAGGTCAGAGAGGAAGTTAAAAAGTTCTGCAGTGGCAGAAAGCCAGGCAGAGGTGAGATGAGAGCTGAGATACTGAGGCTGCCGGACGATGTGACTCCATCTTTGTTGGAAAACTTTTTCAATGCTTCAGAACCCCGACCTGATGCTGACCATGTAAAGGTGATGTGAATGTTAAAGCAGAGGTTTTAGAAACAAATATGAATCCTTCAAAGATCTAAAAATCCAACCACACAGAGTAATAATTCACAATGTTTGATATCTATTTTTAGAACAGCATCATAGGGTGTGCAGCTTCTACAATTCTGACAACGCTGTCCACATCCGTTCAATATTTCATCCTCTCCTCTGTGAATTCTATTTTCTCGTTAACATTTTAACATGTGGTGCTTTTATTTTGAAGGTGGACAAACTGAAGTGTGGACAAGCTGTTCACAACACTCAGAGGCTTGTTGATAAACGGCTAGCAGTGAGCTGAATAAAGTTTTTCTGCGGTGTTGAAACAGGTCAGAGGTCAACATTTCAATCATGATGTGGATATCATTAATGCACCTCTATCTCCACTTTGTCCTGAGAGACATCGCTGCAGCAATTACAGCTGCTTCACAGCTGCAGGCTGAAGCAATCCATTGGGGCAATTTGAAAATGTTTGCACCAAATTTTAACCCGAAAATAAATAAATTCAGTCAGACAGTTATAGAATATAGTTTGAGTCACTTCACATCTGTTTACTCACTGTAACATGTTCTTTTTTATGTTCATTATATCGTTCTTCCCTGCAGCAGTTCTCATGTAGAAACAGAATGTAAGGAGCTGTGTCCAATCATTATCCTGTAAACCTTGAGATGATTGACCTCAGACTTGTTTGCAATAACGCTGAACGCCATGAGTAATGTGTGTGGGCGGCTGTTCATGAAAAAGAACTTTAACACTTTCAGGAGAATTTAATTAATTTTTATTTTTATTTTACAGGGTTCACGTTGCGAGGGCGCGCTGCCAGCTCGTTCTTTGTGCTCGTCTGTCGTGAATGAAAAGGATGTCAGAGTCGAAGGCGATGCTTTGAAAATGACATGAATAGTTGTCCTTTTGCTTTCACTGCTCATTGAACGGGGAAAAAAAAAAATCTGCGTGAACCCGTTAGAGCTCCACTTAGTATCACTGGAAACAAATAAAGTCCAGCCGTGTATTTATAATCACTAGAAACACATTTACAGCTTTGAGAGGCTCGCTGCGGAGACTTTGTGCATCTCTGTTTGGAATGTTAGCGCTAATGTTCATAAATATCCTTTTTAGTTCCACATGTGGGACAATTTGTTGTGTTCACAGTCAGAGAAGAAGAATACATCTCTAAATAAAGCTCGGCAGGCAGGGGCGTGGCCAGAGGGCCGTCTAGGGGCGGCATGGGCACCCCCTTAAAGCCTGATTGGTCACCCCAGGTGCCACCCCAAAATACAAATCTACGATTGGCTATTTGCCTAATCAGAGGCGGGACTTAAGTACAAATCAACTATTCTGGCTGATTTCAACATGGTCGTCTTTTCAGTTCAAACATGTTTGTGGGATTTCTTAGATTGTTATAGAATAAAGTTTATTATTTATGAGTAAATGTAGTTTATAGAGCTTGAATAATCCGCAGTAAATGTGTCCTCCATGTTTTTTTTCTGTGTGGTCCTCAGAGTGAGAGTGTCTCTATGAAAGTAGGTCAGCCCTCACACTGTCACTCGCCGTCTTTTACCGAGATATTTGGCAGCTATTTTAGACCGACTCAACTCGGAGAGAGACTTCCAGAGTGTCTGAAAATATCTCTTAAACAGCCCGTGAACCCTGACAGCTCTCCACTTCTGATCAAAGCGTGCTGCTGGAAATACGCGGGGCAGAGAGCGGCTGACATCAGGACCTGCTGCATCACGGCGAAAGGCAAAACATTTACTGTGAAGGAGAAGTAATCTGCTGACACACAGGAAGCGAAATACAAGCAGATGTAGAAGTGTTCGACGTACAGGCGGTTTTAAGTGCTGCGGATTTGAACGTGAAGGTCAGAGAACTTCACCAATAAAAAATACGCTCAAAGATTTTGTTGAAAAAAGAATGATGTTGTGAATATGAACCTGTTCATTGAGTTCTGCAGAGATTGTAGTTATGAACATATACTCACAAAGACAAAGAGAGAGAGAGAGAGAGAGAGAGAGAGAGAGAGAAAGAGGTGACAGCGGTGAGAAATGAGCGTGCAGCTGTGAGTTGGGTGGAGGAGTCGGGCTGCAGGTGGAGATGATTGACAGCTCTGAGTTCAGCTGAGAGCTTGTCACCAGGTTTATTCAGAGCATTAGTCACTCTGATGCTCGTTTATGAAAGCAGTGACATTTAGAAGAACATCAAATGCAGATAACTAAAATGCTAACTGACTAATATATGTTCAATAATATCTAGTCAAAACCCGGCGTGGGGACTGTGGAGCGTGCTCAGAAGGTCTGAACCAGTTATGGTCTGATTGAGGTGTAAACATGTCGGAGTAAATCGATCCCTTGATTCTCTGGAGGAGCTACCTGTAATCGTCTGTACTGACCTTCTCTAGAGGAGCTACCTGTAATCGTCTGTACTGACCTTCTCTAGAGGAGCTACCTGTAATCGTCTGTCCTGACCTTCTCTAGAGGAGCTACCTGTAATCGTCCGTACTGACCTTCGCTGGAGGAGCTACCTGTAATCGTCTGTACTGACCTTCTAGCTACCTGTAATCGTCTGTACTGACCTTCTCTGGAGGAGCTACCTGTAATCGTCTGTACTGACCTTCTAGCTACCTGTAATCGTGTGTACTGACCTTCGCTGGAGGAGCTACCTGTAATCGTCTGTACTGACCTTCTCTACAGGAGCTACCTGTAATCGTCTGCACTGACCTTCTCTAGAGGAGCTACCTGTAATCGTCTGTACTGACCTTCTCTACAGGAGCTACCTGTAATCGTCTGTACTGACCTTCTAGCTACCTGTAATCGTCTGTACTGACCTTCTCTGGAGGAGCTACCTGTAATCGTCTGTACTGACCTTCTCTAGAGGAGCTACCTGTAATCGTCTGTACTGACCTTCTCTAGAGGAGCTACCTGTAATCGTCTGTACTGACCTTCTCTACAGGAGCTACCTGTAATCGTCTGTACTGACCTTCTCTAGAGGAGCTACCTGTAATCATCGTTACTGACCTTCTCTACAGGAGCTACCTGTAATCGTCTGTACTGACCTTCTCTACAGGAGCTACCTGTAATCGTCTGTACTGACCTTCTCTAGAGGAGCTACCTGTAATCGTCTGTACTGACCTTCGCTGGAGGAGCTACCTGTAATCGTCTGTACTGACCTTCTCTACAGGAGCTACCTGTAATCGTCTGTACTGACCTTCTCTGGAGGAGCTACCTGTAATCGTCTGTACTGACCTTCTCTACAGGAGCTACCTGTAATCGTCTGTACTGACCTTCTCTGGAGGAGCTACCTGTAATCGTCTGTACTGACCTTCGCTGGAGGAGCTACCTGTAATCGTCTGTACTGACCTTCTCTGGAGGAGCTACCTGTAATCGTCTGTACTGACCTTCGCTGGAGGAGCTACCTGTAATCGTCTGTACTGACCTTCTCTAGAGGAGCTACCTGTAATCGTCTGTACTGACCTTCTCTAGAGGAGCTACCTGTAATCGTCCGTACTGACCTTCTCTAGAGGAGCTACCTGTAATCGTCTGTACTGACCTTCTAGCTACCTGTAATCGTCTGTACTGACCTTCTCTAGAGGAGCTACCTGTAATCGTCTGTACTGACCTTCTAGCTACCTGTAATCGTCTGTACTGACCTTCTCTAGAGGAGCTACCTGTAATCGTCTGTACTGACCTTCTCTACAGGAGCTACCTGTAATCGTCTGTACTGACCTTCTCTACAGGAGCTACCTGTAATCGTCTGTACTGACCTTCTCTGGAGGAGCTACCTGTAATCGTCTGTACTGACCTTCTCTAGAGGAGCTACCTGTAATCGTCTGTACTGACCTTCTCTAGAGGAACTACCTGTAATCGTCTGTACTGACCTTCTCTACAGGAGCTACCTGTAATCGTCTGTACTGACCTTCGCTGGAGGAGCTACCTGTAATCGTCTGTACTGACCTTCGCTGGAGGAGCTGGAGGGTTGAATCTTTTGGCGCAGACCAGGAAGGAGTCGGGCTGAGGTTTGCTGTTCTTCACGTCGGGGTCGTCTCCCACAACGATGTGGTCGAACAGAGCGAAGAAATCTTTGTGGTTCCTCGTCTTTAGCTCGAACGTCACCCCTGCTGAGCTGGTTGCCACGGCGATGGGGACGTTGTTCTTCTTCAGGTGGTTTATCAGTTTCTCCACACCTGAAAGGGGGGCAGAAGTGAATAAAAGGAAGACACAAAAAAAACAGTCTCAGAGAGAGTGATGAGAAGTACCAGGATGTAGCAGGATGTATTGCATGTGTTCTTTTTAAAACAGCATGAGTAGCACAGGTTTCACGCTCTCCATTAACACTCAATGATGACGTGACATTTCAGTCAAAGAATGAAATGATGAGACACCGCTGCAGGAGCTGAATCATCGACCGCCCTTATATAACACACACTTATGAGACATGTTTTTAAAACCATCTCTACTGAACAACAGGTCTGTACCATCATTAAACTGACGTGTTTCATCATCAAGGCGACATGATAGCACGACTCATCATTCTTATATAACATGAATCTGTTATAAAAATGCTGTTTCTATTCATTTGTCAGAATATTTGAGGTTTTTCACGCACAAAAACATCAGAATTAAGGATAAATTTAGCTCCACCATTGATTATTAGATCATGATATTACAGAGTGTGCACACACGTACACACAAACAGAGGAAGCAGCCCTCCCACGTGAAGAATAAAGAGGACATCAGCCCACACACGAGCTAATGATAGTTCACTCCTCAGCTGGGAACACATCATCTGCATTTCACTGTTTCATATTTGTGTATTCTTCCTGTTAAACGGCGTGGTGACTCAGGCGTACCTGGCATGAGTTTGGCAGAGGGAAAGATCCGTTCTTGAATCTGTCTGGTTTCAGCCAGCAGCTCCTCGGCTGTCATGGGAAGCTCCAGCGTGTCCCGAATAAATTGAGCAGCGTCCAGAGCCTTTTTCCCCATCACTGACGACTTCACGTCCCAGGTGTACTGCTTTCCAAAGCGGTCGCACACTTCCTGGAAGGACACAGTGTACAGCCGCTCTGTGTCTGCAATGACAATCACAAAAAGAGAAATGAATAGCTTTTTAAAATCCTGTCATTTATTACGGAATATGATCTACCACATGACTATTTTGACTGAAAATGAAAAGAAGAAACAATATGTGGCTCTTTAAAACATTTTTTCTTACACATATAAATTACTACAATATTTAAAAAAAACCATATTGTTAGGGTTAATCTGCATTAAATGAAAGTCCAAGGGGACTCACTTTAAGAGCTAATAAGTCCAGAAACAGTGCTTTAGTATTCAATTGAACATCATTTAAAAAAACGTGGTAATTTGTAATGGTAGGGTTTACAGTTGGACAGACAATTGTCAAACATGTCATTTACGTTTTTAATATAATAAGGTGATCAGTCGCTTTAATTCGGCACAGTTGTTAAAGTAAAAAATACTTTAAATTGTCAGTAAAAGCTTAATTTTCTGGACCGCGTAATTGTCAAAACTGCAGCTAGAGGGTGAACATTTGGGAGCTTCGCTTAACATGCAGCAACGACATTAGGCAACAATTAATGTGGAAAATGGAGTTTTGTAGCACAAAGGGCTTTTCATATGTATGCCGAATTGAACATTAGACTCTTCAGTGTAAAAATAACTACAAAGAAGTGCTCGATCAATCAGGATATTTGATCAATATGCACAAAATAATTAACTTCATCTATTTCCTACGGAGTTCGGCAGTGAAAATATCCAATACGGACTAAATGAGTTTCTGCATCGATGCAGCTTTAGCGTGGTTACAGCCTCGTGTTAAGTGTTGAACAAAAGCATTAAATACGTGTCAGGACCTAACAGTAATCCATCCATGTCGAATAAGACATGGCTCACAGGTGTGTAGCTGCTGCTTGACATGTTTCTTTCAGGAGTTTTGCTTCCGTGTTTCGTACGTGACGTCACGGGACAAGCAAAAACTAACACGGAGAATAATCTCCTGGCATGTAAAAGTCACTAAATGCATTTCATGTTGCAGAAACATCAAGAATTATAACTTTAAACATATTTAGGAGACATTATTGTGTTTTAAATGTAAACATTTTGACCTGAGAGAAGCTTCAGATTATTCCCGAGATCGTTTTTTGGTCGTCCCAGCGCAAAGGCGGCTGGGAAACGGAGTCCAGGAGGGATTCCAAAGTTCAATTTCAATCAAGTTAATTTTTTATCTGTCAGTTTAAGGTTTTCACAAAACATTTACAGAAGAAGACCAAAAGATAATAAACATTTGAAAGTTGTATGTGAGTCACAGAAACATGGAAAGAAATGTCGAAACTCTGTATAGCCTATGTCTAACTTTATTTCAAAACCTGCTGCAACACAGTTTGGTCAATGGTTGCATGCTTGTGAGTCTTGTCCCTTGTTTTTGATCTTGTGTTAAATGTGATGGGTTCTTCCCGGTCCAATAGATCATCATCCTTCCACTAAAGATTTGCACCGCCTCGCTGAATCATCTAGTAATCGTCAGGAGTGTGCGTTTGGAGGATTATTAATGTTAAAAAAAAGGGTTGAAACTGTCCTCATGTCTGTGGTCTGCAATGTTTTTAGCTTTTCTGTAATCTTGCAGACAGAAACAGACACAAGCAGGCTGACGGCGGCGACTTGCATGATAAAAAAAACTTCAAAAGTGAAGAGTTGCTGGACAAACACTGTAAAAATGCTTTTTATTAACCGGATAAATGTCCTCCAGAGACACAGCAGACAAGCAGACGCAGTACCTAACTGTTGTTTGGCTTCGTATGACTCAGAATCTGACCTTTATGTGTTAAAGAGAAAATCAACAACTTATCAAAGCTCGCACTAACAGCACAATAAACACACACTCATCCCCTGAGCAGGCCTATAGGTGCTCGTCTTCAACATGCTGAAAAACAAATATAAGACAAGATTCAGCGTCGAACGTCTCCATCCTCCAGAGTGTGTCACAGAGACGCGCTCCTGCAAATTAGTGGCAAAAGGCTGTTACCGCCGCTGCTGCCACATTTCTCTGAATAATTGGAAGCTCCATGTTAACAGTGTTCTTCTTGTTAGTGTGAAAGAGACGTCGGGGGGGGGGAGGTTAGAGATCCGTGCAACCTGGATGTTGTAATGAGCCTGTGGATTTCAGGTCTAATTGGAGGACGGCGGGAGTGAAACGGGAAGCTTTGAGTCCAGGCGAGTGTGCTTTGTGTCAAATTGTGGAGTTTAGAGAATTGCTCACAGAGAAGGAGCAGGAACCTTCTGTTTCTCGACAAGGAAAACACAAAGCCATGATGAAATATGTGTCCTTCCTTGTTGTGTGGGAGTTAAACAACCCTGACAAGAGAGAAAAATATTATTATATCGCTCCAGCGACAAAAGGAAACAGCAGCAGCAAAGAGTATAAACCCGTTGATGCTTCCAATCCCACAAATCAGCGCGGCAACAAAAGAGATGACAGTCTGGAAGAAGTAGCAGGAGATCGCTATGAAGCTAGCCCGGAGCGACACTTTGCTGTCTGACTGAAACGACGTGTCTGTAGATATAAATAGTGGAGTGGTGGAAATCACAGGCAGAAACACTGTTAGTTAGTTTTCACTTCTCCCTCTGGAGTGGGACTGCTGCACACACACACACACACACACACACACACTGCTACGCTTACACTGAGAGATGCTCCCTTTTCAAAAGCTGCACAGTTGCTATGCTGCCTAATTATCACGCTGAGATCCAGAAATAAACCTTCATCCGGCTGCTCGTTACCCGTCAGTGTGGTCCAGCTTTGATGTGATGGATAAATCACAGTTTACTCTGTCACAGGTTTGATTGCTTTACCCTCTTTCCTCCCTCATATACCTTAAACAACCCTTTATCTCCCGCTTGTTTAGCTCTCTGTATTCTGCACATGACCTCAGGGGCACCGAGGAAAATGATTGGCAGGGTGCTTGTTAACGGGGAAACCTTGTATTTTGAAACCTTCGCTCTACTTTTACATATTCAGGGGTGAGAAAAGGCTGCTGTTAACAATCCCCTCTGCACAGATGCCACACTCCATTGACAAAAACAGTCACTTTACCTCCCACCACACCGGGGATGTGTTCTGCTGCCGGCCTCATTTAATGACTTTGTTTGTCATCTTTGGAGTTTCACATGGTTAGTTTGTACCCAACAGAATATTTGTGCAGCAGAAAATCACACAAAAATATTCATAATTGAGCGAGTGGTGGAGCAGCAACTCCCCAAGCATGTCGCTCCTGTCTGTAATGTTGTCAGACACGAGGCTGTTTTCTTCACACATGCACAAAACTCCCTGAAAACGTCCTGAAATAGTCCTGAGGAGCTGCATGTGTGAACGCAAACAGCTGCATTTCTCAGCCACGACTTTACAGAGACTTTTTCCATTTCAGCTTCCCTCTCTCTCTGTGTGATGTCGGGATGATGAGCGGATGAGTGAACGCAACAGGAAATACTCTGGGAAAGATTCAGCATGAGCGGGCGGCTGGGGATGTGGCTTTGTCTGCTCGGATGTCAAAAAAATTGGACCTGAAATCATGATACCACACTTGAAATCGGCCTCGTCTCCAGACCACTTTTTGAAGATTACGCTAAATTTAGAAATTAAAACAAGAATCATTTTTCAATCTAATCAAACTCCAGGTCATCAAAAACATTGAATATGTTTTAAATGTGTTTCCTATGCTGGAAACTGCAAAGAAATAACACAAGGAGTTCTTTTGAATAAAACTAAACAAGTGTTTTTGGCACTTTTTATGCCTCAGCTTAACTCAAAATGCAGAAGAACTGGGTGTGTTAAAGACTGTTTCTAAATGATGCACACGTGTACCCGCTAAAGGTGAATCTCAGGTAGCATAAGGATTAAAGTGTGAACACAGCCTGCATAATGGACGAGGAGCTGTGTTAGCTCGTTGTTATTTTAATGGGAGGAGCTCGGCTGCAGAAGTGAAATTGCAGATTTAAAGCGGGGCATCAACACACACACACACACACACACACACACACACACACACACACACACACACAAACAAGACTAAAGTCACGTTGTGGGGAGGTGAAGTGAAGCAAAAGCCGGGATATATTTTCTCCTTTTAAGTGCTCAGCGGTGGAACAACAAACCTGTCAGGGCTCAGCTTCAAAGCGGCCGCAGTAAACACGCAGAGCCTTTGTGCATACTGTATGTCTCTAAATGGATCTGTGTAGACCTGAGGCGGCTGCTCAGCGGGTCTCCTCGGGTTGCGTTTGAGGAGCTCTCCAACTGAATCACGATACCATCAAGTTCACATAAGACAAGTGAAAGTTCAATAATGGAGAAGTAAACTGCAGACGAAGCTACTGAACAATAAAGACTTCTCGAAGATCTTGTTACTGATGGAGTTTTGCAGCATAGAATCTGTGCAGTTTAGCTTCAAGGGTTTTTTAAGTACCCCTAAAGAAGAAATGAATCAATGTTTTAATTAAAGCTCCAAAAACAAAAAGGAATGCAAAGAAAGAAAGCCACTGCAGCCGCTCATTACACTGAAGGAAACTGAACTTTTTCTCTTTACATGTGAGGATTGGAATAAAAATGGGTTCACAACTTTGAATGTTCTAGTTTTCCCTCCATCCAATCTCTCATTTTCTTCTAGAAACTTGTGGGCAGACCATCTTTAGCTGAAGCATCTTCATGCATAGAGAGGGGATTTAAAACATTTCTAGTGTTAGGGAACCCCGAGGCTTTTCATTTCAAAGGCTGCTCGGCTACACCTGGTGAGTGCATATGGAAGAAATAAAACTTCTTTTTAAATAATCTTTTCCTGCAGGGGTGTAGATAAAGACTTAGGTGAACATCTAAAAACAAGAGCAAGCAGGTAAACAAGACAAAAGGCTTAAACTGCAGTTCCTCCAGTGTCCACTAGAGTCTGTCTCCGGCAGTGATTCAGTCCCCAGAAAGAGATTCTTCCCCCCTTAAGGAAGTTCTTAAAACGCTCATTCTTACACATGAACTGAGAATCCCTCCTGAACATGCAGAAAGTATTCAGAGAGGTCACGACCTGAGTGTTCTTAAAACACGGCCATGATAAGAATTTGATTCCTCTTTAAGGGTAAGTGTGTGGCAGAAGTGAGAGCGATTAGATTCTTGAGGCAGCAACAGCAGCACAAACCTTGAAGCAGAAATGGAGGAATAAAGCCGCTCTAATGGCACTAACACAGAGCACACAGCTTTATTTATAGCTGACTGGCTGCAATCAGCGGCCTCCTCCAGGCCCGCAGAGCCTCTTACCTGAGCCACAGGCTGTTAGACGGCTCATCAACATGACTGACAGCTGCTGAGGCTGGAAGCCGACCAGCTGAGGGGGAGGAGGGAGGGACAAACAACACACCGCTGCCATGCAGAGAGCTGCACATTAACAGCTTCACTGACGGTTTGTTTCTCCTTCTTAGATCACCACAGAAAGCGTCACAGATTGACAAGAAGCCAAAGCGTTTAATTAAACAGGAAATGTTGCGCTTTTTTCATGCCGGGCTCCATTTCCTTTACAAACGTACATAACAAATAGGGACAAACGTTTTGGGATTCCTGCTGAAACAGGATGTTATGACTGTGACGACATTAAGTAGTCAAAGATCAGCGCATCCTGTCAAATCAGCATAAAGAGTCATGGTGACAAACGTTCATGCTCCAAGCACCAATAAGGTCTCCTGTGAAAGCTAACACTCTGAAGATCATTACAACATTCAAACAGCAGCGGATATGATGCGACGCTTTGTCACAAACCGAACTCTGTTTGGATCTAAAAACCCTCTCCCTGCTTTCAGGATGTTTTTATTCATGGAGTCTGGTGGCATTACATTTTTCAGCCATTACAGCCTGCCCCCTCCTGCTAGCTGCACCTAATCGTTAATTGGACCCCAAAATGAGAAATACATATAGTCACTCTG